TGGTTTTTCATATATTCATGGAGTTATTACCACAGACAATTTTAGAACATTGTCATCACCCCCAAAAGAAACCCCCATACCTGTTAGCAGTCACTCTCCATTTCTCTTTAACCCTCTCCCCTCTCTGCCAACCTTAGGCAATTACTAATCTACTTTCTGTGAATTTGCCAATTCTGGACATTCATATAAGTGCAATCATGCAATGTGTGATCTTTTGTGACTGGCTTCTTTCACTTAGCATAATGTTTTTGAAGTTCATCCATGGTATAGCATGTATCAACACTGTATTCCTTTTTATTTCTGAGTAATATTTCATTGTATGGATATAAGTTTACATAGGAGTAGTCTTTTAAAGCAAAAATCTGATCTCTTTCAGCTCCTTATTAAAATATTACAAGATTAAGTCCAAGTATTAATAATTGGCTCCATTGTATTTCTCCTCTATCCCCTACTGTTATTCTCAGTTTTATGCTATAGTAATATCAAACTACTTATTTTCCATTTTATGCCTTTGCCTAAGTTGTTCCCTGTGCCAGTAATATCTTGTCCTGCTTTTTCCTTAGCAAAGTATCTTTTTTTTTTGGAGACAGAGTCTTTGTTGCCCTGGCTAGAGTGCAGTGGCAATCATTATAGCTTCCTGCAAACTCAAACACCTGGACTCAGGCGGTCCTCCTGCCTCAGCCTCCTAAGTAGCTGGGACACCACCATGCCTGGGTAATTTTATCTATTTTTAGTAGAGACAGGGCCTTGCTCATGCTCAGACTGGTCTCGAACTCCTGAGCTGAAGGGATCCTCCTGCCTCAGCCTCCCACAGTGCTAGGATTACAGGCTTGAGCCACCATGCCCGGCCAAATTTACATTCTTAAAACCTAGCATGTTCAAAGAGAAAAGTTTGATTTGCTGTTTATGTTGAATGTTTGTCAAACACTTTGTGCTTTATTTTAAAGGTGGTGGGGAGGTATTAATACCTTTTAAACCTGAAAGTAACATGATTAAATGTATTTGCATAGGTTATGTGGGCTTTCTGCCTTCACCACTCTTACGATTTTGAGGATTTCACATAGGGACATAGTTAGCCTGTGGTCTTTGTGCCCTTGAGCTACTCCAGAATATCTGATACACCTCTGTCTTAACTGTTTTTTTCTCTTGTCTTTTCATTTTTTTCTATGACTACTCTTTATTTCCTTTCTCTTTTTTCTCTTCTTCCTCTTCCATTTCTCTTAGGGTGTCAGTGACACCCACTGGCATGCAGGGCCATTGTTTAATCCCACTGACTGTGCCATATGCTGAAGAGTTATCTACCCGACATATTCCATGTAGAGAGATGTTTGTTCTGTTCTCTGAAATAATGCAGAGACTAAGCATAAGAAGCTGTTGTACCACATATGCTCAGAATGGTTCTCAAGTTTGACATTTTTGCCTGAAAGTTTAGCTCTTTTGAATGGTTAGGTTTAAGAACTTGTATCAAGGTCTGAGTCAGATCTTTAGGTGTTATTTTTGTGATGATATCATTATGACCAAGTCAGGTTATGTTGTAAACTGTAAACAATAGCATTTTATATTTTATTACAAAAGAAAAGCAGACTTCTATTTAATTTAAATCCAACTATCTAATTTATGTTTTTTAACTTCACTAATTTAGGTATGGATGGCAGAACAGAAAATATCATATGATAAGAAGAAACAAGAAGAATTGATGCAACAATATCTTAAAGAACAAGAATCATATGATAATAGGTAAGAAATTCTACTATGCTGGTGTTTTTAGAATCATCAATTTTATGAGAATGATTCCTTAGTGAATCATATATTAAGTTAGTTTTTTGGGATTGAATGCCCCAATGATAAGATTTTGTTCTTTCCCTGTGAACTACCTTCTTTACTTTTATACTTTACTTTTATACCTGTAGATGGCCACTTTTTCCAGATTTACCCATAATTCACATAAAATATAGATTAACGTCATTCATGTACAGTCTGTGAGGAAGGCTCAAATTAGGCAAAGCTTAGAAGAACAATATATGTCTATACATGAACTACTGAGAACTCTTACAGAGGTATTTCTTTAACATACACCCAAATGAAAAGATGCATAGGACACCTTCAAGAAGAAAAGTGTCTTTATTTGACATGCATGTCATTATTCTGTTAGTAGCAGGATCATGGCAGGAGTTCTTCATTGGTTTCTTTCAGCATGGTACCTGCCCTTTAGCTATTTGTGATTTTATGTTTATGTTGCAAATCTAACACTGAAGCTGGTTTCTTTTGGTTAATCAAGCAACTGAGTAGTGGTGTTTTAATTACATAGACTGTGCTCTGAGTTAAAGAACACTTGCTTTCATTTGAAACTCTAGAACAGATTAGTAAATTTTCCACAAAGTCTTATTTTTTTAATCAAAATATGGAATTTAAGCAAAGTAGTACTAAACTATTGTTGCTCTTTAAAATATGTATATTGAGAGGAGAATTAAAGAAATGAAACTCAGTTTCACCTAAGTAGCTTTCTCACTAATTTTATTCAATCCGGTTAACTTGTATTGAATACCTACTTCATGCAAGACAGGAAATGTTGTTGTAGAGGCCTGTAAAAGTGTCTGAAACGTAGTTTCTCTCAACCTTTAAGAAATTCTAATAAAGGA